TCCCACTATCTTCACAGCTGTTGTCTAAACTTTCGAACCTGTATACTTAACCTTTGATCACTTGGTAATAGATGCAGTTAACTTACGTCACTTATACAACTCTGCAGTATATTTTTCAGGTTGAAACTGCCTGTTTTAGGTAAGAGTTTGGTTTGGTTTGGTTTGCTTGTTTTCCTTTGAGGGTTTTGCTTTTCATTGCTCTTTTTTAACTTTTTATCGGTACTAGGGATCGAACTCATGACTGCCTGCTTGCAAGGCAGGTGCTTATGCCGCTGAGCTAAATCCCCAGCCCCTTGTTTTGCTTTTCTTATAGTCCTAGGTATTGCAGCTAATATCAGACACAGAATTCATAGTTATATTCAGGAAAATGATTCTCAGGCTGCCCTGTCTTTCATTTTTAAATTCTCATTCTGTCTCTGAATTGTTTGGATGGGCAGCTAGGTTGGAGGTTAGCGGATTCTGATGGTCTTAATTTGATTCCCTGGTAGTGGGGATTGAGTCCTGGGCCCAGCTGGTCTTCTGTTGTGAGGTAGTCCCCTGAGTGCTGGGATTGTAGATGTGCACCCTATGTCGGCTTGATGTTCCAGCTAGCTGTACACAGTTGTTTGGTTGGCCTTGAGATGCTTAACTGCTAAATGCTTACTTTCACCACACAGAATGGTTTTGTGACACTAATGAGAAGCCTCTTTTCCTACATTTTGGACTGCTATTCCGTACCTCCATTAGTTTTATAATTATTGTACCAAAGTAATGTGTTTTGTCCCTCTTTTAGCTAAATATAATCTTAGACTCATCGTTGGGCGATTTGATTCTAATCAGCAGAAAAAAAGGAGGAATTCCTAATATAAGTTTGGCTGTATGAACACATATTGTAAAGCCTTCATGTCTTTAGAGTCTGGAGTCTCTCATCACACATAGAATTGTACCATACTTCATTATTTTACTGAATGGGAAAAATAGAAATAGTATTCAGTGGTGGAGTACTTGCCTAGAATACAAGAGCCTCTGCATTTAGGCCCCAGTACTCAAAAACAAACAATAAAAAGGCCGTGAAACAGCTCTTAATTTTGTTATTCATGGTAGCATTATAAACTGCACACAAAATTTTATTGATTATCCAAAATCAGAGAATGTGTTTAATATATAGGGGAGAGAAAAGCAATATAAATAGCTTTCAATATTTTTTATAGTGCTTACGTCATTCACTAGGGAAGATAAAAAACAATTCATGTATTTACCTTTTATACTAGTATAGGACTAGTAAGCAAGGACTTTTTGTGTAGAAACAACATAACATTGTTTGTAATTTTATTAGTAAATAAAACACTTAATTTTGTGAACCTAAAATTACAGTGTGAGAATGTTAGTTTTTTTTTGTACCAGGGATTGAACTCACGACTGTGCACTTGCAAGGCAGGTGCTTATGCTGTTGAGCTAAATCCCCAGCCCCATTAGTTTTTTTTTTTTTTTTTGTCTTTTTCCTTTTTTATCGGTACCAGGGATCAAACTCATGACTCCTGCTTGCAAGGCAGGCGCTTAGCTGCTGAGCTAAATCCCCAGCCCCCCCCTTAGTATTTTTATGATATATAAAAATGCATGCATAACCAAACCAATAATTGGAAACATTAGTAGCAGCACTCACTCTGCCATACTCTGATGGAACACTGGAATACATTGATTTTTTAAAAATTGATTAAGTTTATTGATACATTTTAAGATATACAAATGTTCATAATCATTGTACAGGATTTGTATCTGTGTATGTTTTATCTTGATTTCCTCCCCTTTCTTTACCCTTTATTCTACTCCTGTTCCCTTCATTTACAAAAGCTTTGGAATACATTAAATTATAAACAGAAAAGTAAATTATAAACTGAAGAAAGTAGAGATATTTTTACTTGCAGGTGAAAGGAATTGCTTACATGTCTACAGATACTGAAAACCGGTTTTCAAAATTCTTTCTTCCTCTTTGAATCTGGAATAATATAAGATAGGGTACCTGATAGTATTTTTCTATTGTGATTATTATGTTAAAGATTATGTTGAGGAAAAAGATAATGTTAGATAAGTTAAATTTCAGTTAGAAATCTTTATTTTGTAACTCAGTTTCTGTGAGATGTATTTTAAAAAGTTTCTGCCTGTTGTGTGCAGTGATTTTTCTTTTGTGAGTTGTAGTTTTACATGTTTTGAACTTACGTTGTTGACTAAATATCGGGTTTACTGTCTTTATGACTACATTCATTGTCATCTAGTAACTTTTCATCTATCTTGTGCTCTTCTGTATTCTTTCAGGTATTTTTTTCATTTCAGTTTTCCTTTGGACTTTTGAGGGGGTTTTGCGCTGTGTGTGTAAGTATTAAACTTCTTATTGTAAACTGAAACATAGACACACAGAGCCGAGTGGCACTCACGTTAATGAATGATTATAAGATGCATACCCTTGTAGCTGCCACCCAGATCAAGAAATAGAAAAATACAAGGCATGACAAAAATCCCTTTTCTGACGCTTTACCCGCATGTAATCATTAGTCTAAGGTTATTGCTTTCTTGTTTCTTTATGTTTTTTTTTTTTTATTCCAGTCATCATCTTCAATCTTTATGGTTTTATCAGCTAAATATGACTCCATGGACTCTGTAGTTAGAAGTTGTTTGTTTTCTAAAAGCTCTGTGTTGGGGCTTTTCACCGACAGGCTGCCCTCTTGTGGTTGCCGCTGTTTTCTTCTCCTAACTTGCAGGCTGTGGTCTCAGGCTTGCTGCCTGCCTTAGTGGGCACGTTTGTTTCACTATGTTCTTCTGTGCAGTTTCCTACACATTGGCCTACCCAGGACTTCTTCACACTCCGGTTTGATCTCTCTGGAAGGACTGGATATTCTTCTGAAATTTCTGATTTTGACTCAATTTGACCTCAGTTAACTTAGTACAATTTTTAAATATGTCTGTTGGTTAGTTTTGATATATTACCTTTAAAAATTATATTCGTACACCCCACTCATCTACTATAGTATTTGGTTTCTTCGTGTAAAAATAAGGACAAAGCAACTTCGTGCTCCTTTCACATTCTTAGTTTCTTTTCTTTCTTGTGTTACTGGGTATTGAACCTAGGTCGTTGCACATGCTGGGCGAGTGTGCTGGTACTGCGCTACATCCCCAGCCCTTTCGTGGGATTTTGAGACAGGATCTTGGCAGATTACTCAGGCTAGGCTTGAGTTGGCCTCCCTCCTGGGCACTCTCTGCAGGCTCCTCCAAACCCCCAGCTGGCTGTTTTTTTTTTTTTTTTTAAATGTTTTTGAGATAGGATTAGCCTTGAACTCACTTTGTAGCCCAGGCCAGCCTCAAACTCATGGCAATTCTCCAGTCTCTGCCTCTGGAGCGCTGGGGTTACAGATGTATGTTACCACGCCCAACCAACTGGCTAGTTTTTGAGCAAATTGTTTTGCTGTCATGTTCAGCTGAGCTTTCCTTTAAAAAATATATCACAGTAAACTCAAAAATACTTGATAAGTACTTATTCTCTGTCTTATTTCACTTCAGTGTAGATGGCTTCTCTTTGGCTGTTGTGCAATTTTTGATGCAACCCGAGTTGGTGTCGACATCTCTCTTGTTCCAGAGTGGTCCAGACACAGCCTATGCATTTTTCCCCCAGATCTGCTGTCAGCTAACCACCGGAAAGTGGTTTTGTTTTGTTTTTATCTGGAGAGTTAGAGCTTTCACACTGAGCTAGACCATCAGGCCTTTTTTATTTGTTTTGAGACAAGATCTTACTAAGTTGTTCAGGTTGGGCTTGAACTTGCGGTTCACCTGCCTCAGCCTCTCATGGTGCTGGGATCATGAGTGTGTTCCACCATATTTGGCTTATTTCAAAGCACACAAGTGATAATGTAATTACATTACTGAGAAATGGAATATTCCAAATTGTTTTCTCATTCTTGTCATCTGTTATCATTGTTAACTTTCCCAAGTTTTTATAGCTGTATTATTGAAAGAAATCATTTTATCTTCTTTAAGTATATTTTTTCCTAACAGTGGAAGTCATGCATTATATGTATTACCAAATTTTTAAAGATTTAAAATTACTAAATTCATTTTTAAAAATTTTTAAAAATTCATTTAGAGAGCTTGGTGAATTTTCTGTTTGCACGACATCACTCACCTCCACTTAATTTTATCCACTCTCAGTGAGGCTGAAGCTTCTCTTGACTTGAGTAGCTTTTGGAGGTGGGGTGGGTTGGGCTGTGGCCAGGCTCTGAGGGCAGGGCCACCTTACTCTTAGACCCTCTGTGGTGCTTGCCTGGGACAGTGGTCTCATTGTCGGTATAGGGATAAATGAATGCCACACTGAGGTTAGTAAGTGTAAGCCTCTCCTCAGGATAGGAAGGCTGGTGAATGCGTGTAGCTTGGGCAGGGTTTCACTATCCTCCCAGCCAGCTGTCCTCCATCATATGTAGACGTGGAGGGGATAAGGGCCAGCATAGCCACCTAAGCCCGACCCGATGTCTGTGCATCTTATAAGGGTAAATAGTTAAAAGAAACAGAAGGAGGCAGAGCTTGTGGAATGCACAGTTCTTACTGGCTGCACATGCCTCCCCACAATTCCCCTGCCTGTCTGTCCTATTGGACCTTTGCTTTGGAAGGCATGGGATCATCCTCTTGGCTTCACCTGCTTATTTTGACCTCATTACGTTCTTCCTCTCAGGCTCATTGGCTTGTCAGACATGCTTGGGTGGAGCTGGAGCAAGGCTCAAGGGCCTGTGGAGGCTGTCAGCTCGGTGGCTGCTGCCCAGTGTCCTTCCACCTGGGCCTAAGTTTTTTAGTGACTATTGCAAACCTGGTCTGTTTTTTGAGCTTGGCTCTAGAAAGCCTTTTGTTGTGCTCTAGCTGACCCTGAACTCCTGATACAAGGGCACCCAGCACCCTCAGCCTTCTGGGGAGCTGAGACTGGGCTGTGCCATCATGCCTGGCTAAGGCCTTGATGAATTTTACCACTGCAGTCTGGGTGTTTTTTAAATACGGAAGGCTTCACAAATTTGCGTGTCATCCTTGTGCAGGGACCACACTAATGTTCTTCGCGTGTTCTAATTTTAGTATATATGCACAGAAGTACTATGTCTGGTTTTGTTGTTGTTTGTTTAATCTCTCAGCTTTGTTCTTCTTGCTGCTTTATTGGGAACACTTCATTGTGTTCCTATTAACATGTAAAATACCAGCTAGTGATAGCTAGTACCTTCCTCCATAGCCCTTTTTAAATTTGAGACAGGATCTCACTAATGTGCCCAGGTTGGCCTAGAACTTTGGTCTTCCTGTCTCAGTTTCCTAAACAGCTAAGATTATAGGTATGCGCAATGTTTGTTTTTCTTTCTTTCTTTTTTCGGGGGGGATGTGGGGTTCTAATAAGCCATGCTTCTTTTCTTTATTTCTTTCCTTTTTTGGGGGGGGTCTTTTTGAGACTGACTTTCACTATGCAGTTCAAGCTGGCCTTGAACTTAATTTGTACCCCAGAGTGGCCTTGAACTCCAGCAATTCTCCTACCTCTCAGTCCCCCAAGCACTGGGATTACAGGCATTATCACCTCGCCTGATAGTAAACCATTTTTCTAAAAGTTCTTCATGTTTTTTCTCCAGGCTCAGACTGTCTGGGTTCCTTGTTCTTAGGCAAGACCTGAATTTATTCCTAATGTCAATTCAATGCTTTTATGAATTACTAACAGCATTATTTTATTTTTTATTTTTTATTTTTATTTTTTTATTTATTTTTTTTGGTCTTTTTCCTTTTTATCGGTACCGGGGATCGAACTCACGACTGCCTGCTTATAAGGCAGGCGCTTATGCCGCTGAGCTAAATCCCCAGCCCCTAACAGCATTATTTTATAATTGACTTTCATTATCTGTTAGCCTAATAGAAATTCATCAAAGTTAGGACTTTGTATAGAACTTTTCATGCTGCTATCAAATGTGCTGAGTTCATTGATTGTGTAATTATGGCCTTCAGGTTGTGGGTTCAGCTGTTGTTCTTGTAGGAAGGATGATTTAGGGCATGTGTGTGTGTGTAGGGGGGGTGCGCACGTGCGCGTGGTGTTGTGCATTGAACCCAGGGCCTTTGCTCTGAGTTGGGTCCTCAACCGTGTTTTTTCTTTCTTTTTTTTTCCCCCCCTGTTTTGAGGTAGAATCTCACTGAGTTGCCCATGCTGGACTCAAACTTGTAGTCCGCCAGCCTCAGGTTCCCAACAAGCTGAGACTGCAAATGTGTGTGTGTGCACTTGGCTTAATTTAGTTCTTAAGTACTCAGAATGCCAGTATTTATGCAAGGTAGTCTCTCTAATCCCACTTTTATGTGGGCTTTCTGAGATTAGGGACAAACGGTAAGAGTGTCGCAGATAGCAGAAGTGAACATTTCCTAGGGCTGAGCAGGGACGCAGGCCTTGGGCGTGAAAAGAACTTTAGGTTACCTGGTTTTTCAAACGTTCAAGTAACTCCCATCCTTCACTGACATCGTTGGTCCTAGGCAAAGTTCAGTAACAAAACCAAAACCATGGTGTGTTCCAAGTAGTGCTCCAAGGTAGATCACTGTTGCACCAGGTTGAACGTGGGCTTACAAAGAAACCAGATGATGAGAAGCAGAAGACATGAACTCACTGTTTGAGACCTGTTTGAGATAGAGGCTTTCTGTGTGAGATTCTGGCTGCAGAATTACTGGAGCCGTTTAATTCGTGTACAAGAGGCTTTTCCCAGAATATCCAGATAATTAAAGGAAGAATAAAAGAGGCTTAGAAGGAAGCAGAGGCAGGGAGGGGCACTAATACACAAAGGTTATTGCCTCAGTGCTTTTTTTAAATGTTAGAAATTCCTTTTATGATGAAGTAGCAGCTTTTATGAGGGAATGCTAATAATATATTTAATAATATATTTTCTGTTGTCCTCTTTGTAGAAGAAGTATTAATTAAAGAAACTATTCTAGAGCAGGGTAGAAGATTTCTAATAATGAGGTGCACCTTTCTCAGTGTATTGGTTTGATCAGGGCATGAATATTGGCAGTACACGCTCCTCACTGAGGGCCCAGCTGTTGCACTGTGGCTTTTTTCTTTTCTTTTTTTCATTCTTCCTTTTCATACATTAACTTATTTTCTAAGTGGCTGGGAATCAAATCTGTGGTTTTGGTCTTGTCCTCTAGCACTAGCTGTACCCCAGCCTCTCAAGTTCCTGCTTCTGTAGTTAGAACAGTGAATATCCATCCACCTGTGGTTCCTGATGTGATTAAGGTAGCATTGCGGTTATGCTTTCAACTAAATTGGAACCTGCGCAAGTTGGAGCATTTGCAGTGACCAGGTGAATGTGATAACGCATGCCTGCGCAGTCTCAGTACTTGGGAGGTGGGGCAGAGAATATGGCTTATGGGTTGGAGACCAGCCTGGACTCCACAGTGAGATCTTGCCTTGAAAAAAAGAACAAAACCAAACCAAAGAGGTGATCGTAGGTCTCCTTGTAACTGTAAAGGAATATAGAGGTATCATAACAAATCTCCCTAAATTTCTTTTTTAAAATTTATTCTTATTAGTACATATTTGTGGTACATAATGTTTATATTTCTGGTGTAGAGTTGTTACATGTACATAACTTATTTCCTTTTTTCATCTCCTTTCCTTCCCCACTCTCACCCTCTGTCTTGATCCCCATTTGAGAATGCTCTGTCTCCTCCCTCCTGTTACCTATCTTTTATTTTGCTCTGCATTTATACTCTGGGTTTCTTGTCTTAGAGAAACCATACGATGCGTAAGCCTGTTTGCTTGGTTTATGTCACTTGCCATTACAGTGTCCTGGTGTAGCCACATCCTGTTCCTGACTCCAGTTTGTCTTCCTCCTCTCATTGTGTGAGAGACCTGTGCACTTGGGTGGAAGGCAGGGCCGCAGAGCTTATCTACTGGATGAACAGAGCTGTCAATCATTTTAGGGAGTGACATTGGTGAAGGGCACACCTCTGAGGAATGTGTGCCATGAATTACTGTGGGAACATTTGTAATCATTGTCAGACCAGTTCTTTTTGGAATAGTTTGCGGCCCATGACAATTATTTGTTTTTAACTCATCCATAAAAACTTAAAACATTGTACATATTAATGGGTGCTGTGTGATGTTTTGATACATGTATACACTGCATAATGATTGACTCAGGCAAAACATCTTCATACATTGATCTTTTCTTTATGGTGAAGAGGCTCAGATTCTTCTAGGTTTTAAAAATGTACAGGACATTGTAATTTCTAGCCTGTAGGACACGTGCTGTGTGATTCCACTTAGAAGGTGCTCACAGTGGCCCGTACATAGTGACAGAAGATATAACAGTGGTTGTCAGGTGTTGGGGCTTGAGGCGATAGGGAGCTCCTGTTTACTGGGTGCAGTTTCAGTTTGAGAAGATAAAAACTTTTGGGAATGAGTAGTGGATGATAGTTGCACAGCACAGTGAATACATTTCGTATCAGTCACACATTTAACATTGTTAAAATGGTTCAGAAAGTGTGGAAGAATTAAGTAAAATCTTTACTAAGAATTGAATTAAAAAGGAGTGCGTTGTAATAGTAGTGGTCTAACATTGACAGGCACAAGGGTTATGTACATACCTATGAATACGCTAAAAACATTTGCATTGCATACAGCATGTGAAGTGCATCTTAATAAAGCTGTAACAAAAAGAAAACAATTGTCTCTAGGCACTCATCGTGTAATAAACACACCAGAATTCTTGCTCCTGTCTCCCTGTAGTGTGATGCGCATTGGTCAGCCTTGGAGCCCTGCTCCAGCCCAGTGTTACCTGCTGTGGCCGCCACTATTCCACCTGAAACTTCTGTGAGAACAGCTGCCTTTAGATATCACTTATGAGTGAGACCATGTGGTTCTTGCTGGGGTTTCTTTTGGTCTTTTTGAAACAGGGTTTCACTTTGCAGTTCAGGCTGGCCTTGAACTCATTGTGTAACTCAGGCTGGTCTCAAACTTTTAATGACCATCCTGCCTCAGCCTCCCAAGAGCTGGGATTACAGGCATGTGCCACTGCTCAGTGTGGTCCTTGTCTTTCTGTACCTGGCTGAATTCAGTGAAAATAATCTCAATTACTATCTATGTCACCAAGGAATGACAAGATTTTCTTTTTTTTCCCTCACAGTACTGAGAACGGAACCCTTTTTTCCCCCTTTCTTCCCCTTCCTACATCTTTCCTCCCCTCCCTTCTGCTCTCCTGTCTCTTCTCTTCCTTTTTGTTTTCTTACTTAGAGGCATGGTCTCATTAAGTTATTCAACTGCCCAGGCCAGCTCCACATTCTTGCCTCCAAGTGCTAGGATTTATAGGCATGTGCCGTCATGCCTAACTGGACTTTGATTCTTTTTTATGCCTGAATAGCATTCTCTTGTATCGTGGGCCATGTCTATAACTCATTAATCAGGTGATGAACTCTGAGGTGGTTTCCATTTCTTGACCATTGGGAATAGTTATGTGGTCACCATGGCGTGAAGATGTCTCTTTGTTGTACTGATTTAATTTCCTTTGGGTATGTATCCAGGGTCTGTTTGTTTTTGAAACAGGGCCTCACTTTGTAGCCCAGGCTGGCCTCAAACTCAAAGTAAATCCTGCCTCAGCCTCTCAAGTGCTGGGATTACAGGCATATGCCACCATGCGCAGCCCAGCAATGTATTGATATATCGTGGTAGTTATATATATATTTTTTGAGGAACCTCCATACTTTTTTCATAGTAGATATACTAATTTATATTTTCTCTGCTTTCACCAACACTTGTCTTTATTCTCATAACAGCCATTCCTACTGAGGTAAAGAGGTGTGTGGTTTTGATGTTCATTTTCGTGTTGATGATGGTATCTGTTGGCATCATACGTTTTGAGAAATGACTGTTTAAATCTGCTCATCTTTTTTTACATAGGTTGTATGAGTTTTTGCTCTTTAATTTTTGGGATTCCTTATATACGCTGATGCTAAGTCCTTGTCAGTTACAAAAGAAGTTTGCAGAGAATTTTCTCCCATTTTACAGGTTGATCCTGCACTCTCTTGGTTGTTTTATCTGCTACCCACAGTTTTTTACTTTGATATAAACAGATTTTATCGAGTTTTGTTTCCTGTCTTTTAGGGTCCTCCCAACTAAAGCATTTCCCATTGCTTTCTTCTAGTATCTGTATATTTTCAGGTCTGATGTTTAAAGCTTGAATCGATGTCGCCTTAATTTTTTTGTACCTGATGGGAGATCTACCTTCTTCTGCAGGTAGATACTCAGTTTTCCCAGCATTATTCATTATAAGACTGTCCTCCCAGAGGTGGTCTCAGGATTGTGTCAAAACTCAGTTTGCTGTGGTCATGGGTATATTCATACAGTATACTGCTCCTTCATAGGTATGTCTGTAGTTATGCCAATAACCATTGTGTTTGATGACTACCTTTCATAGTATTGTTTTCTTTCACAAGTCCATTTTATTTCAAGGAAAAAAAACAAGAAAAAAAAAATAAAATGAAATTTGAAAACACATCAGTCGGGGCAATAATGGTACATATGTTGCACAGTGTCACCCCCAGATCATTCACCCAGAGCACGGAACATCTGTTTACAATTGTTTGAATACCAGCACAAATCTTTCTTTGCATTGAACTTAGAGAACTCAGTAGTATAACTGTCTTTAACTATTTTTATATACATATACATACAATATACATGTGTTGTTACTGTCAGCTTCTCACACTAGTCAGACAGTATGATGTTTACGAATGAGTGTCTTATTTCACTAATGAGTATGGTCTCAAGTTGCATTTATTTATGTATAAAAGTGTCCAGTTTATCCTCCTTTATAGCTGAGTAGTACTCCATTGTATAAAAACACCACATCTTTTTTATCCATTCCTTGGTCGATGGGCATGTAGGTTGTTTCCAAGATCTGGCAATTGTGCTGCTATAAACATGTGCACATATGTCACTGTGGTATGATGTTTTTAATTCTTTTGGAAGACACCCAAAAGCAGAACAGCTGGGTTGAATGGAACCTCTAGTCCTAGTTGTTTTGATGTTGGGTAGTGTAATGTAGGGTGACTTGGGCTATTCAGGGTTTTTGTTGTTGTTGATTCATGTCAACTGTTTTTGCCTTTTTTCTTTTAGGTTTTTGTTTTGTTTTGTTTTGTTTTTAATGTTTTGGTGCTGAAGACTGAACCCAGGGCCTCCCACTTCCTGGACAAGCATTCTGCCTTTGAACTAAACCCCCAGCCTCCCATATCAGTTGTAGAGGTCCTGCATCTCTGTCATTGAAGTTATTTCTAGGTGTTTCACTTGTGTATTGTAGCTCTTATAAAGAGGTGCTTTCTTGATTTGTGTTTCAGATAATTCACTTGGCATATAACAGCCCTACTGATTTTTATATGTTGATTTTGTGTCTTGTAATTTTGCTGAATTTAGTTATTACTTCTAAGAGTGTTTTGGTGGGATTTTAGTTTTCTTTGTGTAATGCATGGTCAGGTCATCCACAGTCAGCTTACTTTCCAGTTTTGGTGTGGTTTATTTCATTCTCTTTCCTGATTGCTGGCTGGGGCCAGCAGACCTTTGTTAAATAAAAAGGTGAAAGGGGTTCTCCTTGTTTTGTTCAGGTTACAGAGAGATGGTATAGTAAATGGTTCCCCACTTACTATAAGCTGTTGGCTTATATAGATAGCCTTTATTATGATGAGTTACTGAAATCCAAATTCTCTTAACTCTAAACTTTAAAGGCTTCCTTTCATGGGCTTATATTTTATTAATATTAAAGAAATATTATTATGAATATATCTTTAATTTCATAAGCTTTTATTTATGGAAGGATTGCTAATTTTTACATTAAAAACGGTACATTAATTCATCCATGATATGAAAAAATGGTTGTTAGGCTTCATGAGTTATCAGCCTTTAGGTGCTTTTTATACCTTAATTATGTTTCCATAGATTTTTGTGTTTGTTGTTGTTGGAGTCAGGGTCTCACTATGTAGTGCAAACTGGCCTTTAGTTTGCATATGTAGCCTGGGCTGGCCTCAAACTCACAGCACTCCTCCTATCTCAGCCTCCCATGTGCTGATCACAGGTGTAGTACACTATGCCTGGCTTGTATTCTTGCTAATATTATTTTTCATACTTTGCTTTAGTGATCGTGGTGGAGAAGACCCAAACCAGAAAGTAATCCATGGGGTTATTAACTCCTTTGTTCATGTTGAACAGTATAAGAAGAAATTTCCTTTAAAGGTAAAAAAAACTTTCCTTTGCAACTTCATATGCAACTTTAATTTTTTAAATGATATGTTCAGTTTCTTCCTAACATGGCTTTAATTGATTTATCCAGTTTTATCAAGAAATCTTTGAGTCTCCTTTTCTGACTGAAACAGGAGAGTATTACAAACAAGAAGCTTCAAATTTATTACAGGAATCAAATTGCTCACAGTATATGGAAAAGGTAAGCAATCGACATTGCATGCTTCCACCTGTTTTATATTTACATCACTTTTTTTTACTTCAAATTCTCTTGGAAAGGGAGTTGTGTGTGTTTGATCTTGGACTCTTGTGTGTAATGAAGTCCAATGTCTGTTGCTAAGTCATTGCTCAGGCTTGTGGTGTTTTCTGAGTAAAAAATGGTGTTCCAGTTTTCCTCACGGTTGACACTGTCTGCTTTCATCCTTAAAAAATAATGTATATCACATTATTGGCTAAATAATAAATGGCTTTTTATACTTAGTGATTTGTTTAGGAAATTTAGCAAGTAAAGGAACTAGGTGTTCAGATATTTGTATTTTAAAATGGAAGAAAAATGGAAAATAGAATAATCCTAGGTTCTTGGACAAGTCACTTTTTTTTTCTGCTGGTGGCACTGGGGACTGACCTTGAGGTCTGTGTACTGACCTACCTTCCTGGCAGCCACTCTGCTCACCTCCCCCTCCTGTCCTCCCTTGAGGCAGAGTCTCTGAGCTGCACAGGCTGGGCTCAATGAAATTGTGATCCTCCTGCCTCAGCCCCCCAGAAAGCTGGGAGGCACCTTGATTATTGTGCAGGTTTCTCACTTGCTTTCTTTAATTTTTTTGATGCATTGATTTTATTGTTACATTACTGCATTTCAGGCAAAAGCTTGTTGACAGATGATTTTCTTAGGTGAACTACATGGTAAAGCTTTTAAATCTAGACACCTTCTGGCCCACCCTTACTTTTTATGACTTCCCTGCTCTTGATATTAATGGGGTAGCATAGTAGCAAAGATAGCAGTGTGGGATTCCCCTCAATCTGCACCCCCGCCCCAAACCTCTCTCCTCAGTTTTGAGTCTCATTTTTCTCAAAGATTTCTAACAAAGTCTCCATGGTTTCTTCTCCCAATGTCACCTTCTTATTGCCAGGGAGACCCACTGTACTCTTCCAAGGGGGAGATGTAAGCTGTGCGCTGGGACTAGCTGAGCCTAGAAACTCTAGGCATGCAGCTTCATTTTCTACGTCTCTACCTTGTCTCTGTGTGTGCCACACTAATGTGATTCTGATGGTTCACAACACAGTGATGTTCTTTGGTTTTGTAGTAGAAATCAGTTCAGCTGTTGGCTAGTGTTGACCAGTGTGTTTATAGTTTAGTGCTTTTCATGTAGGATAAACTTTAGTAACGGTCTTGAGTCACATGTCTGAATGTAACTAAATATATTGTGACTCCTAAAAGTGTAATGAGATCTTTAATGTGACTATTAATTATCACATGTATACTGGTTTTTTTTGCCATTTAACAAGGGAAACCAGGATAACATAAATTAATATACTGAATAAAATTTATTTGATGTAATCTTTTTTAGTTTGATAATAAAAATTCACACAGAGACTCCCTTTTCTAGAGTTGAATAGCCTTTACCAGTTTTTCCTATTCCTTAGCTTGTCAGTATAATAGGAAGATTGATAAGTGAATGTAAATGGCAGATTAAGTTTTGCCCATCATACTGTAGTAAATATATGTGAGATAGGTAGTATCTTATACAAATTTGAAATGATTGGTAGATTTTGGTTGTGTAAGCATTATTTACCTTTGCTGTGTTTTATAACCATTGAAATGTACTACCTGACTTACTAATGTGAAAAATTTTTTCCTTATAGAGGACCTGCTAAGATCTTGATTATAACAATATGTTTTTGTAGGTTTTAGGTAGATTAAAAGATGAAGAAATTCGATGTCGAAAATACTTACATCCAAGTTCGTATAGTAAAGTAAGTCATGAATGTCAGCAGCGAATGGTAGCAGACCACTTACAGTTCTTACATGCAGAATGTCATAATATTATTCGACAAGAGAAAAAGAATGGTAAGTGGTATAAAAATACATATGAATAGAAATTAAAGTAGAAATCATCATTCACGAATTTAGGCTCAAAGCATTTTTATAATCTTTACAATATTCTATGTATCCTTTTGTAGATTATTACTGTATTTTGAAAGATTACTTTTGGAAGGTGTATTTTCAGTATATTGTAAAGTAAAAAAATGGGAAAAGCGCTTATATAGTTTCATGTATTAGAAGAGTACTATAATGTGCTAATTCCTAGTATACTGCAAGAATAAAGGTAAAGTTGTCTGAGAAGGAATTACAAATCAACTTTTAAGTATATAGAGAGGCTCAGTCTAACTCAAAAAGCGAAACACAAAACAAAAATACAGTGAGATACCTCTATAAAAAGTGAAGGAATGAATGTTTTAGAAAAGATAAAGAATATGTTAAGGTGTATCAAACAAGTGGCAATGAATAACATAAGCCAGAGCTACACAGAGAGAGCTTCATAGTGCTGTTGTGATCACCATTGATTTCTAGACCCAGGGTGCTGTTTTGGTAACTCTGAGCTATATCTTCTTGGATTAAGACCAGGAAACATGACCTTGATGAGCATTCTGGAGAGTCCAGTGAGACTTACCGTGCACCTGGAAGGAGAGAAGAGTGAGGCTTTGCCAGAAGGATAGGCAGGTGGACCTGTGGAGGAGAGCTGGAGATACTAGAAGCAGCCATGTGTGTGCAAACAGGTGGTGCCCAGAGTAGTGAGGCAGGCGACTTTTGGAAACACATTGTGATAAGTTCACTGCGTGTCCATTTGGGGTAAAAGAGAAATAGGATCCCTGCCTTAAACACTGTGTGCAGATTGAATTCACTACAGGTTTTCTGTCCTAACTGTAAAGGATAAAAGAGGAATACTTTTGAAGGCTAACATAGGACATTATCTTTGTGACCTTAAGGTAGGGAAAAATATCTGAAGTAGGACACAAAAAGCAATTTTAGAAAAACAAAGGAAAGGTTGATCTAGCAGGCTACCTTAAAGTGACAAATTTGTGGATCATTACAAGATTACTAAGGCCACTGGTGCATCAAGAAGCACTCACAGGGTCATATGATCTGCAGTGACTAAAGAGTGTTGACTCTAACATGTAAAACGGTGAGTAGCCTTGCTTAGGCACCATAGAATGGAAGATACTAACAAGGGTAAAATGTCTTCAGTCTCATTAGAGGGATGCAGATTAAAACAGCAATAAGATAGCAATACCTACATTTTGATACAGAATTAGAAAGATGGAAAATGAGAGGTATTGGTATTAAGAGTGCCGAGAACTTTTTGTTCACTGGGATGAGAGTACAGATTGATGCTAGCACTCTGGAAAACCGACACTGATATTCGAAGTGGAGTATATGCCTATTTCATGGCTCAGCAGATTGACTGCTGGGCATGTAGTCCCTAGCCATGCATGCAGTGTGTACTAAAGATTGTACAAGGTGATCACAGCAACATTATTTGTGCTAGCTCTGACATGTGTCCAGGAGCAGCAGAATGGATATGATACAGTGTGTTTAAACACTGGCATGTTACCTAGGAATGGAAATGAGCACAGGAAAGCTAACTACAGCAGCATCTTTGTCTTAATAATGTTGAACACAGAAACCAGTCACCAAAGAATCGTGACTGTCTTTTTGCTCATGATTGGAGAACATGCCAGATTAAGATGTGGTTCAGTAATCATAGCAGTGGCCACCTTTGCAGAGGAGCAGGAGCAGGGCTGACTACAGGGCACGAATGCACAGTGCACTGTTGTACATATTTTACACTTTGGTAGAAAGTTAAAAATAACCCTGGTACTCTGAGACCTCAGCATGTCTCAAGGTCAGGAGCAAAATGGTCACCACGTTGTCGTCAAGGAAGCTTCTTGCTGTTAGGTTCCTGGCCGGGCACAGTCTGCCTGTGTGACTGACCCCGCAGGCCACAGTTAGGGGTTTGTGCTGTAGATATTCTTTCTGTGTAAGCTTATTAATTGCAACATTGTGACACCCAGAGATTGGGCAGGACCTGAGTGTCTGTCAGGTTTAAGTGATTGTGTTACACTCCCCCATGTAACGGAGTGTGATGTACTTATATGTAGAGATGCTTTTAAAACGCTTCTGAATTAAATATGCCCTGCAGCCACCAATGATAAATGTGCCATACTATGTATGTAAAAAGAAGTTGGGGAGAATTTATTGTTATTACTGTTGTTTTTGGTCTTTTGAGACAGAGTCTCACTGTGCAGGCTGGCCTTGAACTCATTGTGTAGCCAAGGCTGGCCTCGAATTCATGGCCAACCTCATGCATCAGCCTCCCAAGTGCTAGGGGCACAGGCGTGTGCCACCACACCTGGTACATGTGTTTACTTGAATGTGCTACACCATCTTTGGCAAGATATGAAGCAACTACAACATTGATTTCCTGTGGGGAGGAAAAGGGGGAGCCTGAGAGATGAGTGTGGGGGTCTTTTCTTTGCATGCTCTTGTTCTTTCAACTTTCGAACCATGTTATCTTATAATGAAAGTAAATGAGACTTGAATAATGAAATTTTTTTTTCCCTTCAGACATGGCAAATATGTATGTTTTACTCCGTGCTGTGTCGACTGGGTTACTTCATATGATTCAGGAGCTACAAAATCATATCCACGATGAGGGCCTTAGAGCAACCAGCAGTCTGACTCAGGAAAATGTGAGTTTTGCATAAGGAACTCTTCATTGGCTTTGTCAAGAGTTTTTGTTTTGACTTTACTGTTTTAAGAGGTTTAAAAAAAAGGGTCTTGTCATGCCAACAGGTAAAGCATCTGTTAATTCAAATGTGTAAACCCAAAATTTGTTGTATTCATTTTGGAATCATGAAATTACTAGAAAAGCATTGAATGAGATAGGCTGCTGCTTCATAGCCATACTGGTATGTTTGTTCATGTAATGATCAGCATTTCACAGAAGAGCATTTGGTGTTTCTACATAATCATGTTTCTTCCTAACTACCAGATTAAAACAGTCTCTCTGCATATATTTGCTATCCAAAATACCCCAGACGGTAACCTTCACATTCCTGATACTCCTTTTTCAAGAGCACTTTACCAACTAAATGAATTTTTACAAGTTGCCGTATTACTCCTGGTGGTTGATAGATACCATGAAATTTCCCTTCCGTCTCTGAAGTAGTGTCCTTGCTCTCCATCTGTACGTGGTAGTCTGTACCTCATGGCTCAGGAGCACTTACTAGATGCCTGTCACCTTATAGTAGATCTGTCTTCAGCAAAAAAGTCTTAAGTTCATGTCCTGCTGTGGAAAATCATAACTCTTCATGTTTTGTGGAGATAATTAGTTTTGTATTGTTACATATTTATTACCTTGTATTATTTACTGGGCTTTTTAGTTGTATCAGGCTATGCAATCTCCACAGCTGATTTATTAGGCCTCGGACACCACTTTCTGTTATCTCCTTTCAGATAGTACAAAATTCACTTTGTACTATTGCACATTTCTTCTATCTGAGATGAAGGGGATTATACCACCTAGTTCTTCAGATACAGCTTTTAAATTCATTGCTTTCTTTCCACCTTAGTGACATCACAGGCTGTCTTTGTTTATGTAGTCCTCTGCGAGAGTCGTAGGCCTGCTGTATTTCAGAGATTTATCCATTTGCTCTTCAGCTATGATACTCCAACATCAGAGAGAAGTGGAGATGGACATGGTGCCACACTCATATGAGCCCAGCACTTGGCACCCTAAGAAAGTTTGAGGCCAGCCTGGGCTTTACTGCGAGTTCAAGGACAACCTGAACAACAGAAAACAAAAAGAAAAAAAAAAACGAGAGAGAAAGGAAGTGTGCTTTTAATGCATTCATCTGGCAGGTCCTACACAGTCCTGGTGTTAAGTTGATTTTAGTATAAAGTTTAGGTTGTTTCCTTTTGTTTTTGAGACCAGCTCTTGCTATATAGTCAGGCTGGTTTTGAATTCTCTATATGTAGCCCGAGTTGCTCTCAAACTCACAGAGATTCTCCTGCTGCAGTGTCCCAGGGTATGCGCTACCATGCCCAGGTGTTTGAGTCAAGGCTTTGCTATACTCCAAGCTGGCCTTGAACTTACAGCAAGTCTTTGCAGCATCTGAGACTGGGCCCAACTGGAAGTTTAGAATTTTAAGTTTATAAAACCATATTAGGTCATATTAGACATCTTTTAAAAAGGAAAGGGATAGAGAGAATATATAATTCATCATTGTAGGGGGTAAATTTTTCTCTTAAACGAGTCTTTAACAATTCTAATTTTATTCCTGAATTTCTTTTTTTTGTCTTTTTCCTTTTTATTGGTAGCAGGGATTGAACTCACAGCTGCCTGCTTGCAAGGCAGGTGCTTATGCCACTGAGCTAAATCCCCAGCCGTATTCCTGAATTTCTTAAAGTGTGTTTTTTGCTTTGTATTTATTTTTAGATGCCAACACTATTTGTGGAGTCAGTTTTGGAAGTGCATGGCAAATTTGTTCAGCTTATCAACACTGTTTTAAATGGTGATCAGCACTTTATGAGTGCATTGGATAAGGTAACTTTTTAATACATATACTATGTATATAATTTTCTTCTCAGTTTGTTGGAAAGTTTTAAGATTTGGCTTCTAAGTGTGAGATTTCTGATACAGAGATTAACCTTATATAACTAACTTAAATGTGAAAGGAATAACATATTTTGATAGGAATAACATATTTTGAACTATTAATGGAATGGTTGAACTATAAATTGAATGCTTGTAGAATTTCTCATCACTGTATACTGTAAGTGGACTTTTCCATAAACCAGAATATTCTGAAAGTACATGAAATAACTTAATATTCTTTAGTATGTTTCCTTCAAACATTTAACATACACTTTCTGTATACTTGAAGAAAAATATATTTTGTGGACTTTAAATTTTATATTCTGTGTAGGAAGTTTGCTTACAAGATTATAAGAAATTTTAAAAAATGATGCTCTTTTATCTGTGCTCAGATTTTAGTAATGAGTTATAAAGTATCTTGTAATAGGAATGGAATATATAATTATTATGTCATTAGGAGTATACTTAGAGGAGTCTACCTGATGTTAGATACAGAAACAGTATTAACAAGCTGCACTAATGTACTGTTTTCTGTGTGGTAGTGGGTTAGTTTTCCATTCCTGTGGCAAAATACCTGTGAGAAACCTGTTAACAACACGGTGTGCTTTATAGTGCAAATGTCTTCGCAAATCCTCATACACTCCCTGGGACTTTTGGGAGTGACTGAATGGTGGGTGTGATAATTGGGTTAATCCAGTTATGGCTTAGTGTAGTTCTGGGTGTGGCTGAAGGGATTTATTAAAGACAGAGGATCGACTCTGGGTGTGCCTGTCACCAATCAATAGGCTTGTAGCCTGAATGGAATAAAAAGGGAAAGGGAGGCTCACTGCCGCTGCTTCCTGCCTGCCCTGCCTGCCCTGCCATGGACTTTTTCTCCTTTGCCATGCCCCTCTGCCATGCCGCCCTGCCTTGGAGCCAACCAGCTATGGACTGAAACCTCTACAAACTGTGAGCTGAAATAAACCTTTCCTCCTTAAACTTGCGGGTGTCAGATGTTTTGTCCCAGCAACAAGAAAGTAACTAAGAGAGAGGAAATGCTTATTTTGCCTCATGGTTTCGGAAGTGTCAGCCCATGGTGCTTTGGAGCCTGTGGCAAGCAGCACATGCTGATGGAAGTGTGAGGCCAAGGAAAGCTGTTGAGCTCATGGTGGCCAGGGAGGCAGGGACATGAGGGGGAGGGCCCAGGCTCCCGGTGTCCCCTCCAAGGTACCTTTTCCCCAGGGGCCTAAGTTCACTCTACTGGCCTCCTGCAAATCCCAACACTTACTCTAATGCCGGACTGGGAGCCAAGCCTTTATTTATTTATTTATTTATTGTCTTTTTCCTTTTTATCGGTACCAGAGATCAAACTCATGACTGCCTGCTTGCAAGGCAGGCGCTTATGCCGCTGAGCTAAATCCCCAGCCCCAAGAGCCAAGCCTTTAACACGTGGCCTTTGGGGGACAAAGGTAGAAATGGTAACATGGTAATATGGTAATATAGGACAGACAGGTTATAGCACAGTGATGGCAAACCTTTGAGAGCTTGCAGGGGTAAAAACAGTTCACTGTGGCACAAGTGACGTGGGTTCACCACAGCAGTGATAGCAAAACATTGAACCTCCTGTGCTCTTGGCCCTTCGTTCGGGTCGTGGCTAACTACTGGTCTGTTTTTACTTAGGCCCTTACATTAGTGGTAAATTACAGAGAACCCAAGTCTGTTTGCAAAGCACCTGAACTGGTAAGTTTGATGGTTGCTTAATTGCAATCTTGTGAAAAATCCATCTGAATTAGAAAAAGAAAACTAAGCATAAAGTTAGATTAATTAGTTTTGATAGCATTTTTCAGAAAATGATGGGAAATTCTCTATATCATAATTTGACATTTGTGAAAGGAAAGCAGAAGACCAAGTATCTTTCTCAAGACATAACTAGAGGCGAACATGTACAAAGTTTGGGGTTTTTGTTAAGTTTTTATTTTTGTTTCTGTTCTTTTGGTATTTTGAGACAGGGTGTCCCTATGTAATTGAAACTGGCCTTGAACTCATTATATAGCCCAGGCTGGCCGCAAATTCATGGTGATCCTGCTGCCCCAGCCTCCCAAGCACTGTGATTACAGGTGTGTGTCACCACACATAGCTTGGTTTTTATAAAATTTTAAGAGGTTAGTTCAGTGTCAAAAAATACAGAACTGAGGGCCAGGGATATAGCTCCGCAGCACAGTGCCTGCCTGGCACTAGGTCCAGAGTTCAATTCCTGGCACCAAAAAAAGAGACACTTTGATAGATGATGTATGATTGATAAAAATTGCAGAATCAGTAACAGTTTCTTATTTAAGAAATGTATTTGTAAAATTTGGTACTTCTAACAGTGTTTCAATACCATGTGTTGATCAGCTTTTTAAGCTGTTTCTAGTATTTTGTACATTAACTGTGTATTTAAGTCATGAGCTTTGTCGTGTTCATAACTTTTAAAACACAAAGTTTAGTAAATGAGAGACCCCATTTGTTGATCCTGTTTCGTATTGTTGCCACTTTGCTTTGTTTGAGGCTTGTGAAGTCCAGAAGGGCCCTAAGACTTATTACTGCTTTCTATTTAAGCTTGCTAAGTACTGTGACAACTTACTGAAGAAGTCAGCCAAAGGGATGACTGAGAATGAAGTAGAAGACAAGCTGACGAGCTTTATTACTGTTTTCAAGTACATCGATGATAAGGATGTTTTTCAAAAGGTACGTTGTTAAAACTTTTTATTTAAATTATGCTTTGCTTCACTTCTGAACTTTAAATCATTAAAAGGAAGTAATCTCTTAAAATACTTTTTAATGTAGTTCTACGCAAGGATGTTGGCAAAACGCTTAATTCATGGATTATCTATGTCTATGGATTCTGAAGAAGCTATGATCAACAAACTAAAGGTATTGTGAGCCTTTGATATGAAAATTACTTATAAATTATTCCACCAGCACATAAATACTCTCACTGTAGCACTGTATATAATAACAAGAACTAAGGCATCAATAGGACTGGTTACTATATCCTGGTATATTCATAGAGTAGGATTTTATGTGGATATTAAATTAAAGGGCTCAGTTCTCCATATGACCTGGTTTAGAAAGTCTTCCAAGATAGATAGTATTGACTTTAAAACAAATAATGTCACTTATACCTGATTATACCCAAAAATATTCCTTTACAAGTTTCAGGGTGCAGTTAAATTTCAGTTTATTTTACATCATTTTAGCTTATACATTTATCACTTAGTAGCTGATATTAAAAATACGTCTAGGGGCTGGGGATTTAGCTCAGTGGCATAAGCGCCTGCCTTGCAAACAGGCAGTTGTGAGTTCGATCCCCGGTACCGATAAAAAGGAAAAAGACCAAAAAAAAAAAAAACCGTCTAAATGCTTTCTTTTGTTAATTGACTATGGCTGGAGTATTACCAGTAATCTTTCTTGTATATTTTATACTATAAAATGTATAAGCCAAAAATGTATCTTACACGTAGTAGTTAAGCATTTTGTAATGTTGAAATAAGACATACAAATTTATAGAAAAGTTTTTGCTTTACAGGAAAATTTGGTTTTATAAATACTTATTTTCAGTCACTTCTAACTTTGCTTTGTTTGGTTGTATTTATATATTTGTTTATTTTTGTGGTCCTGGGGACTGGCCTCAGGACCTTGTGCATGCTAGGCAAGCACTCTACCACTGTGCTGTATCCCCAGCCCTGCATCTAATTTTAAAAGGAAAGAAATGTTTGAAAGGTTCTGAGTAGCTGCCTTGGATTTTAAACAATGTGGCCTTAGATACAAGCATATGTGCAAGGGCCTTTGACCTAAGACCTAGCAGTAGCAGCACAGTTTTCCTGATGATCAGTGTGGGTTATTTTTCTTTTTAAGTCATACATCTTCAAAACTTTTTTTTACAGCAAGCCTGTGGTTATGAGTTTACTAGCAAGCTACATCGAATGTATACGGATATGAGTGTCAGCGCCGATCTGAACAATAAGTTTAACAATTTTATCAGAAACCAAGACACAGTAATAGATTTGGGAATTAGTTTTCAAATATATGTTCTACAGGTATGAATATGTACTTTCTTATTAGCATTCTCTAATTACTCCATTCCTGTGATACAGGATTGCTTACCTAATCAAGTATACGTATTGCAGTTACGTATTTTGGATTGTAGAATTGTTACACTGATCTGAAAGACATGTCATGATAGTAATGCTATGGTTTTCATCAGCATTTCACAGAAGAGGGCGAAGGGTCCAGCTCAGCAGCATGGTGCCTGCCCAGCAAGCATGAGGTTGTGAGTTGGATCCCTGGTACTGGGGACTGGCCTCAGGACCTTGTGCATGCTGGGCAAGCACTTTACTACTACGCTATATCCCCAGGCCTACATCTAATTTTAAAAGGAAAGATATGAGGGGAGGAAAAAGAAAAAAATAGAACATTTCACAGAATGAAGATGAGTGGCCTGGTACCCTAAAATATGTCTTGTTGCTCTGCTTAACTTTTTATTTTTATCCTTATAGGCTGGTGCATGGCCTCTCACTCAGGCCCCTTCATCTACATTCGCCATTCCCCAGGAATTAGAAAAAAGTGTACAGATGGTGAGTTGCAAGAAGGGTATTAGCAAACCAGAAGAATTTTAATGATTGTTTCTTGGTGCCGGAGATGAAACCCAAGACTGTGTGCATGTTCTGCTAGTGAGCTATACCCTCAGCACCAGTTTTTATTTTATATCATTTTCAATACATACCCTAAGGTTTATGAGATAAAACGAAACTCACAGAATATAGTCTGTCTGTCATTTAGGAAGATGGAGATTTATTAATCTGTAGGAAGGTTTATATTTATTAATATTAAAATTAAAATCACAAGGCTATCTTAGAGTTCTTTGCAAAAGTGTCTCTCATGTTAGTAAATCTGCCTTTAAGCAATTTTAGATTACAAAAATTCAGTATTAGAAGAAAGAATAGAACTGAACCCATAAAAATAGCACATTGCATTCCGGTGGCTCAGGAGGCTGAGACAGAAGGCTCACAAGTCAAGTCTCCTATGGCAACTTAGCCCAGTCTCAAAAACAAAACAAGACAAAAACCCCTGCTTCTCCCGTTGAAATTCAGAGAGAAAGTAGGACTGGCAAAAAGCTCCCTTTTAATTTTTTGTCCTTCTCTTTCTACTTGATATAATTGTTTTCTAATAATAATTTTAATCCCTTGAACTGTATTAATGTATGGCCTTCATCAGGCTTTAGTTTTGTAATTTACAAATAGAAAGTAAATATTTTCCAATACCATTCAGGTGTCCTTTTCTCCATTCGGGTTTCCTTAAATTACCAGCAGAGGGAGTTTGTCCTTGTGTTTTCCCCCCTAGTAAATCCAGATTTTCAACCACATGGGATTAAAATCAAAGTTTGTATACTTCATAGTGTACATTTTTCACAGATAACTTAGTTCGGCTTGCATTAGTGATTGCTTTTTACAGACTTCCATTTTACATATAAGTATCTTAAAACTTTGCAAATAAAGTTGTGAAACTAATTTCTTTCTTTCTTTCTTTCTTTCTTTCTTTCTTTCTTTCTTTCTTTCTTTCTTCCTTCCTTCCTTCCTTCCTTCCTTCCTTCCTTCCTTCCTTCCTTCCTTCTTTTGTACTGGGGATCAAACCCACGACCTTGCACTTGCCAGACTAATTTTTCATTTTAAACCAGTGAATCCTAATTAGTACATTTCTTTTATACCTAGTTAACAAATCCAAATAATGTTAAAGAAATATATACTATATCGGGCTGGGGATTTAGCATGGTGGCATAAGCGCCTGCCTGGCAAGTGTGAGGTGGTGAGTTTGATCCCCAGCACCAAAAGAAGAAATATCTACTATATTAATGAAGAACTATCTACTGCACTAATGTAGCTCTGTGTTAGAGGTGAATAAGCTCATTAAATAAGAAACATTAAGTTTTTAGCTTTTTGAGGTCTAGTAAATACCCCCAAATGGTATTTGCTGTTTTTTAGTCCATTTACTGAAAAATATGCTGTTTTTTAGTCCATTTACTGAAAAATAAACAACGCATGCTTCTTGCTAATGGACTTTGATATCCAAACATTTAATGATGTAAAATAATGTTTTATAGCTGGTGCCATCATACTAGATGAATTGATAACATTTGGAGCTGAGACTTTTTGTTCTCAACTAGTTATAGATGTGAGTCTCTTTGTGATCAGATTTTAAATGTAAGGGTAAAGGAACATCTTTCAGAGTTCTCGTTGCTGGGATAATAAAGCGATAAGAGTGTTGGAGCTTGGAATTTACATTCTAATGCAGTGGGGTGCTTAAATTATTTGTAAAGTATATTTAAAGCCTGTAAAGTAATTTAAAGTGAATTCTCACTTCAAAATATAATGTAGTTTGCCTTTGTCCACAAAGTATTTGATCAATTCTGAGTTAATTGGAGTAACTGAACTTCATTATCAGTTTAAGAGGTTATAACTAGTCAAAGTGTTCTTCTAGAATGCTTGTGTGACATATTTTGACTAGCTGTTTCTATAGACTAGGCAGAGTTAGAGTAATCTGATTGGTCCTTTCGGTTTGAGCTGTGAACTTGCATTCTAAGTAGTAGTCATAGTGTATATGACAGGTTAAGCATTGCTGATTGCTTTATTCAAACTGGTTTTTAAAAATACGAGCCGAGGGCCGGGATATAGCTCAGCAGCCCAAGTGCCTGCCTGGCAAGCATGAGGTAGTGAGTTCAATTGCCAGATAACCCCTGCCCCCCAAAGAAAAGAAAAATGCAAGCTGAAATTTGTAAGGTATGTCACATCTGCTAAGGATGTCAGTGAATCTGAAGTGTGACATGGTGCAGTTGTTTATGTTCAGGAACCCAAAGAGTAAACAAGAGCATAATGGGAGACAGACAGTGGGAAGTTGGAAGAGCCTGGGAGAGGAGGAAGTGGAGAAGGGTTAAACAAGAGAGAACGCAGGGGAGAAATGGAAACAAAGCTCTTGGTAATGGTGAGGGGAAGACATTGAAGGGAGAAGAAGAGAATGGAAGGAAAAAAGAATAATTAAGGTATCTTATGTACAGATGCAAATTCCACATAAATGCAGTCCTTATGTGTGGAAAACATGTTCTAATCTTTAAAATTGTTTTTAAAGAATGAAAAAGAATTCATATTCTATCTCTTTTCATTTCAGTATTGTTTTCCCATTTCATGTTATGTATTGTTTCTGTTCTGGTTTCATGCTGGGCATCAAATACTGGCCTCTTGACTACTTAGCGCGTCTATACTTCTGTCCTGTACTTGCTCTTTGAAAAATATGAACTCTGATTGTTTTCGGGGAAGGGGAGTGTTTTGATTTGATTTGATTTGGTGTTGTTGCTGTTGTTTTTCTTTGAAATAAGGTCTCTAATGTATAAAGTTCAGGCTAGCTCTGAACTCACTCGGTAGCCCAGATGCCCCGAATTCGTGGCTGTCCTCCTACCTCAGCGTCCCAGGTGCCGGGGTTACAGGCGTGCACTACCATGCCTAACTGGACTCAGTATTTTTGGACTATGAAAGGAGTTTTTAAAATTTTAAAGCCCTGGTAATAGAATAATGAATTGAGTTATTCACAGTAATATCAAAAAAGAATGGAGCTTCCTTTATTTTAGTGTTTGCACTATTAAGCCTTAAGTTTCTAGCTAACCACACATGCCTAATTGTCACTTAAACAAAGGTATATTTTGACAAATAAATATAAGATTAAAAATTAAGTTATGACTTACATTTTTATGTTGCAATATATGTTAGTGGTATATTGATCACTAAATGGAATTTAGTAAATCCAAATTATTATCATTCAAAAAAAATCAGTGAATCAATAACTGTCATATCTGAACTTGTACAGAAAGCCAAATTTGCAAGTGCTGTAGTTTAGTTGAAAAAAAAAACTCTGAATAAGTTTTTTGATTTAAGAAGCTGGATTAGGGCTGGGAATTAGCTCAGCGGCATAAGCGCCTGCCTTGCAAGCACACAGTCGTGAGTTCAATCCCTGGTACAAAAAAAAAGCTGGACTATTCAGAAACATGACTCTGACATGTAATTGTGATGTGCTCTGCAGCAGAAATGACTGTTTTGTATAGGTGGTTGTCTAAATTTCTCTGCTTTTGTTTGCTTTAAGAGTCAGGCTCGCAACCAGTTGTGGTGCTGTCAGTAATCACAGAATTCAGGACACTGAGGCAGGAGGATTGCGATGAGTTCAGGGCCAGCTTGTACGACCTAGCAAGATGCTGTCTCAAGAAACCAAAACAGGGCAGCCCACATGGAACCCTGTCTGTCTCTCTCTCAGACAGAAGCTTTCTTTCTCTCAGTAAATATTTCTGCTCTTAAAAAAAAAAAAAAAAAACTAAACTAAAACAAAGTATCTTACACAGGCTCAAGCAGTCCTCTGTCTCAGCTGCTTCAGTAGCTGGGACTACAAGTCCGTACCACTGTACCTGGCTGCTGTGATCCCCCGCCTTCTCTTTCTCTTTCTGTCTCTGTTTCTATCTCTCTGTCTGTCTGTCTCTCTCTCTTCCTGATTGTGAGACAAGACCGCGCTGTGTATTCCGGGCTGGTCTTGAACTCACTGCAGTCCTCTTGCTTCAGCCTCCCGAGTGATGAAATTACAGGTCTGTGCCCCACGCCTGGCTTTCACATTTATTCTTGTGTAAAACATTTGTGTATGTGAGGGAACATTATAGTGCTGCTTTTTGTGCTGAAGTGAACAAATTATTTTGATGGTGATTCTGAATCAGTTGTGTCATACTTCAGAAAAAGCGGGACTCTATTTGATGAGTTTGGTCAGGGACTACACAGACGGATGTCTTTTCTCATCTGTAAAATGACAAGGTATATTATTCAGTAGGCTACGATGTGTTTTCTAGTGTGTGTGTTACATTTTTTAGTATGGTAAAAACCAGGTAAATTATAGTACCTGAAAATAATTGTTTTTTTCCTCCCTTTTTTTACAGTTTGAATTATTTTATAGCCAGCATTTTAGTGGGCGGAAGCTGACATGGTTACATTATCTTTGTACAGGTGAGTGCACTGAATTGGAGATGGCTTAATGACATTAACCTGATGTCGTGTCTGTAGAAAGAGACTTCCTGTTGCTGAAATAAAGCTTTTAACCTTTTCTCTTCCACCTGCCTTTGTGACAGATAATACCATTTTATAGCTAGACTGCTGGTCATATTGCTGCTTTTAAAGAGAACTTTGGAGTTTTATAATGACAATAAATTTCCAGCCACTTTTTATAGACTTTAGAAAATTTGTTTAGAAATACAGACCTGATTTTCATTAACTATTATAGTCATAAGTTGAGTCAGCCATTTGATTTTAATGATGCTTATAATGAACTGTAATACAAAATGATTTTTTCATGGAAACCATGTCCAGTACTTGCAGTTGAAGAAAAATTTAGGCTGGTCATGGTGGCGCATACCTATAATCTCAACATTTGGGAGACTGAGGCAGGAGAATTGTCATGAGTTTGAGGCCTGAACTACATGGTGAGATCTGTCTCAAAAAACAAACCAACTTTAATCATAATCTAGTAAATTGTTTTTGCTTCTTTATGGGATGATGGGACCCACTTACTGATACTCCTGAAGGTTGGAGGCTGTGCTACTGCCCTAGTTCACCTCAAAGTGTTAGCCAGAGCAGACCCCGTACTTTCCCGCCTTGGCGAGCAATGCTGTGGAAAGTGTGGTGAGCCAGCTTGCGGAAGGACGGGTGTGCACCTCAGCACTTCAGCAGTGGTTTGAGCAGATCAATCAGCTGGCGGTAGCTGTTGGTTAGAATATTCTTTCTGTCCATTCTGCTAAGAGAGATTTCGTCCAACCTGGTATGTTGCATACCACTTACTTAACTAATTTACACCTTTGAACATGATTGTTCATTGTGTTAGCAATATATTCTGCATCATTTGTATAAGTTTACTGAATAAATTGGGCATTCTGATTTTTTGGTGTTTTGGAAATGAAGCATTTATTGATATTAATAATGGTCATTTGAGAGTTGTTAACATTATCTATTCTCATTTAGCAAATATTAATTTTAACAAAATTGTGGTAAGAATATGTGTATTTTGCCTTTGTGAAAACTAATGTACCCTAATATGGTTGAATACTAATTACTTTTACATCTCCTAAATATCTGTCTTGAGGAATTTAAACTCTGCTGATTGTTCTCAGTACCTCAGAGAAAATGATCCTGTGTCCTAAAGTAATTTTTTTATTGAGAAACCTATGACTTAACATAAACTTGCATTATAGTCAAAAGTATTCTTTCTTAGTCCTTTTCTACACTTAGGTTATTTTAAAAAAGCAAGAAACAGGAATTTGGAGGAATTTACAGTCTGCAAGACCTGGGGTTAATATGAGCCCTCCACTTACTGACTGAGTGTAGCTGAGTTGCTTAGTGTCTCTGAATCTGTTTCCTCATCTTTATCTTTTAACATGTCCTTTGTGCTCGATAGTAAGTCTTGGCTTTAAGCACTCATGGGAAAGACGGACAGTTGTCCCAGTACAGGGTTTTGAATCGTGTAACCCAGGGGCTCCCTTCCAGTGTCACACAATCATGGTGGCAAGCAGGTGCCAGGGAGGGAAGGCTTCTCTGGAGATAACAGTTTGCAACACCTAGTAAGATTTAGCCAGGACAGCAAAGAAAAACATCAAGTGTATTACCAACAGAAATAAGAATTTTAAGATGTACATAATCTATGATATCAGATGTGACAGAGAAACTGAGTGGCAAAAGGCTAGAAATTCTGCTGGATTTGTAGGTACAACTTCGGTAGGACTGTGCTTAAGCCCTTGATGAAGACATACAGATCCCTGTCTGGATGTAAGGGAGTTTTGTTGTGGCAAAGGAAGAAGCTGCAGTAGTCCCAGACCAGTTCCTGAAAGATAAACCAAACAAAGGTGAACTCTGGTGAGTTCTCTGTTGTGGTACTGGGAACTGAGCACCAGGCCTTGACCTGAAGCTGTATCCCCAGTGTTTTTGAGGCAGGGTCTCACTACGTAACTAAATTGCCCCCTCTGGGCTTGAATCTATGTCTTCCTGCCTCAGCCTCCCAGAATGTTGAAATTAGAGATGTGCCCTGCCATGCTGGGTTTCTGATGACTAGGCTTTACTGAGTTTCCTCAGTTTTTCCTAGAGCAACAGCATTCTTAGTGTACCCCAAGGTCTTGAGTTGCATTTTGTTCTATCTCCCACTTCCATTCCCCAGACCTATTCCTGCCCTTCACTCCCAGAATTGTGTGACACGGTGTTTTAAAAAGACCAGGTCAGTGATGCTGTAGAATGTCGAATGTTCTAAGCTTATGAGGTTCTTTTGTTTACCTGTAATGTGTTTGGGGTTCCATTCCCTATACTTTCTGTCAAGTGGAAATCGGGCTCAAAAGTTAGATTAAATGCAGGGTCAAGTATTATTGGCAGGAATACTTCTTAGGTGTGTTCCTCATATTTAATCACATCAGAAGGCATGGAATGCCGGGTGGTCTCACCGTTAGAGACACTGAATTTGGTCACTTGATTGAGGTGATCACGCCAGACACCGGCCCTGCAAAGGTCCTCTTTCCCCTTTGCAGCTAGGCAATCGGAGGAGGGATACTTAGTGGTCACATGGGGGAGCCTGTTCCAGGAACAGTCCTACAAGTGTATTGTGGCTGAAGCCAGCTCCTCCATGAGTGCTTACAAAACTGTGGTTTTTTATCACTTTTGCCATCTGTGAGCCACCACTACTCTGTAAAGAGACCTTCCCTGAGCGAGCAGGGAGCGGCCGAGGGCTGTGGCGAGTGCTGTCCCTGGCTGTCCTTCCCCCTTGCCTCACGGTGGGTTTCAGGAGTGTGCACACTCCCTCAGCCTTTGCCAGCCCCCTGCCCGTTAGATTCACTCCGTCGCTGTCCGTGGTTGTGTGTCCGTCAGCACTTGGATGTGCCCCGCAGGTTTGAGGTTCTCTTCCTGCCCTATGTGCTCCTCCACTCTTTGAGCTCTGCACCACTTTCCTAATGGGAACAATTCTGCCCCTGCCACATGAGAATATATTGAAAAGCGACATAAAGGCACCGTACAAAATTAGTTTAAGATTACTTTAAAAATTTTTTCTTGGGGCTGGGGATTTAGCTCAGTGGCATAAGCACCTGCCTTGCAAGCAGGCGGTCATGAGTTTGATCCCCGGTACCGATAAAAAGGAAAAAGACAAAAAAAAATTTTTTTTTCTTTAGGGGTTGTAGAATAAAGTTGGTGATAGGTGAGTGATGCTCCTATCGCTTTCTGGGTTGGTTCTGGGGCGGCCGCAGAGACCCCGTCCCGGAGTGCTGGAGCCCTGCTTCACACGCCTTGCTGGCCTGTGACTCGGCACTCATCCCAGAAATTGTGAGGTACAGCTTAGGGGATGCTTTGCCTTTTCTCACACTTTCCAAGCTTGCACATTAGGTTGAGTTCTTAAAGTACTCTTTGCACTCGTTATTAGTAATATACTCTCGTTGATAGTTTTCTACATATGATGTTTGTGCCCTAATTAATGAGACTAGGGATTTCTCCATATGCTGTTACCCAAATCATTTCTAAAAATGCATTTGTTCTGTATTCAAAGTATAAATAGTTACTGTGAATATGAAGGTTAATACCGTATAGTTATACTCCCTCTGTGTGGTGCACTGAGTGGGCGAGGTGACTCTTACTCTCTAGAATCTTCAGTTGTGTAATGAGTAAATAAAAGAAGTACGAAATCTTGATCAGAGTTACAGATTATCCCAGAGCCAGATGCAGCCATTAGGGCTGATCTTACGTGAAACACAACTTCCTTGAGTGAAAGTGAAGAGCTTTAAAATCAGAACTTCTGGTTCATTCAGCAGTCAAATGATACACACTCTGTGTGTGTGTGTGTGTGTGTGTGTGTGTGTGTGTGTGTGTGTGTGTGTGCGTGTGTGTGTGTATGTATGTGAACCACAACTGGATACTTCAGGAAGCAGTTCCTTGATTCACACCATTTTTTTTTAACGTGTGTGTTGGTGCTTTGTCACACACTTCTCCATGTGTGAGTGTCACGCTACTGTCACCATATAGATCTGCAACCTGCTGAATTTTTTAGAGCTCACAGGGTGGTTTTGAGTCGAGAATATTTTTAATTCATTTCAGTGAAAGAATGCATCTGCCTATTGGACATGTCTGATTCCTGTTTGCCTCTAGAAAATTACCAAGAAGAGGGCTAGAATTTAGCCCAGTGGCATAAGTGCCTGTCTGGCAAGTGCAACGTTAAGAATTTGATCTCTGATACCCCAAAAAAATGTTACCAAAAAGAAAAATGTTATTTAAGAGATGAAATAGCATTGTCAATTCTGGCAGAAACTACAGTTAAACAGTTGCAGAACCATTTCTCGTATGCTCAGAGACCTCTGGCAGACTTGCCCTTGCCTGAGGAAGACCAGAGACAGGCAGACAAGAGGCTGTTGCTGGAAACAAACTGTCATTCTGTTCCCCCAGCTATCTGTCCACTTTTCGTCTTCCTTCTGCCCTCTTGTATTATTGCCTGGATTTTTGATTTGTTTGCTTCTTCCTGTCTTAATCTTCCTGTTAATATTTAAAGTCATTGTTCAGGCCTGGGGATATAGCTCAGCAGCTCAGATGCCTGCCTGGCAAGCACATGATGCTCAGTTCAATTCTCAGTACCAGAAAAAAGCAAAAAGGTAATAAAGTCATTGATGAGACACCCCAGTAAAGTTATGATGGCTTAACTGTGATCTCCGCTACACACTCAGAACTGTGAGTAGGCCCCTCCCTGCAAACTAAAGCAACCACGCTGTTAGTGGTGGCTTTGCGTTAATGTAAGAAGTCCTCAGCTCAGTCTTTTAGGAAAGCAATTTGAGGTAAAGTTATTACTCACGTGATTGTAAAATGTTCCTTTAAATGACCAGTGTGCTGTTTCATTTTGATTGCAGGTGAAGTTAAAATGAACTATCTGGGCAAACCGTACGTAGCCATGGTCACGACATACCAAATGGCGGTTCTTCTTGCTTTTAACAACAGTGAAACAGTCAGCTATAAGGAGCTTCAAGACAGTACTCAGATGAATGAAAAGGAACTGACAAAAACAATCAAATCATTGCTTGATGTGAAAATGATTAACCATGACTCAGAAAAAGTATGTGGTAATATTCCTGGGAAATTCAAGCACTGACAACTTTGTTTTGGATTTGGTGGTAATGGGGAGAGAACGCAGGGCCTTCACATGAGTAGCCCTTTTTTATCCTTTACTTTGGAATAGTCTCACCAAGTTGCCCAGGTTGGGCTCAAACTGGCAGTCCTGCCTCGGGCTCCCAGAGTGCGGGGTGAGAGGTGTGAGTCACTGCGCCTGACCATTCTCAATGTCACTAAAACTCCTTGGTGGGACCTTTGGCCACTGTGTGACAGCAAAGCTATCCTTGAGCTTTGGGTTGAGCTGCATCTGCAGTCTCTTCACACCTGTGGACCCCTGGAGTCTCAGAGGCTCCTTCTGGTTGGCCTGATTTGTCCTGTCCTGCGACAGTGGATTACAGAATTGCCATCTGGAGGCTTCTGGTTCAAATTTCCACACTGTAACCCATGGTGACTTCCTGGTTCCTTTCCACCTGCTGAGCTGTTTTAATCTCTGGCTCTGATTTGGAGATGACAACCCATGACAGTGGCCCACGTGAGCCCATGTTACAAGTCAGTGACATTCTCCTTTAATGACTGCTGTCTAGTGACAAGATTTTATAATTGTTATCTTATATCTTAGTTGCTTTAAGAGCTTAAAATGCAGCCAATGTGAGATGAAGTTCTAGTTTCAAGTCACTGTATCCATAAGGAAAAATTCATATCAGTCCCTTCATTTTCATTTTGGTGAAGTTAGCAGCCTGTAGCTTATTTTTCTCATCATTTCACAACCTAACACGAGGACATTTCATTGTCTGAGACTGAATATAAATGACACAATTCTGAAATTCAGATCCATCTGTCTTTGAGAAATGATTGGTTTTTCTGGCTCCAGAATATTAACAAAATCTGAAACTCTTAATGCTTAAAATATTATTTAATGAAGGCCAGGCAGTGGTGCACACCTACAATGCCAGCACTCAGGAGGCTGAGGCAGGAGAATTACTGCAAATTCAAGAGCAGCCTGGGCTACACAGTGAGTTCAAGACCAGCTTGAGCTACACAGTGAGACTTTGTTCCACAAAATAAATAAATAAATAGATAAATTGCTTTTAATTTTTAAATTGTTTTAAAAAATTAATGAAATTTAATCAGCTCATTAAAAATTTTTTTTAAAAAATCATAACATAAATTTCACATGTTTTAACTTAGAGAGTCACATTGTTTTAATAAAACTATATGAAACAAAGCAATTAAAAACAATGGGCAAATAGCAGGCAGTTGTCACAAGTAGTTAGAAACAACTGGCAAAGGCAAAGCAAAATTTGAAACATAAAAATTTGTTACCTAAATGAGTCCCAGTTCAGAGTCTATGAAACAAATGCAAACTCTCACTTCTGTCCAGTGATCTTGGTGGGATCTCCAGCTGATATAGGGGAATGAAACTCCCGATATACTATGTCCGCGAGTCTGTGTTCTCCAAAATTGAAGAATGAATTTTAGCAACAATGGAGGTTAAGAGTAGAATATATTTATCGAGAGAAAGAGAGCTTCTGTCTGAAGAGAGACAGAAGAGGGTCTTGCAGGTTGCCCCTACCAGCTCATTTTAATTTTTAGGCAATTAAGTGCTTTGAAAGTTTTTTTTTTTTTTAAATGTGATTTTTGCTGCCCAGAAATTTATGAAATCTAGATTATGTGTTTTTAGATTTTTATTATGAATCTGCTAGTTCTGTGCGTAATTTCATGTTATTGTTGAGAATTGGTCTACCTGCCAAGGACCTCTTTCCTATTGCCAGAGAAATTGGACTCTATGATGTGAGAGGCTTTCGCAATCCAGGCACAGAAACAGTGACTCTTACCTTCGCTTTCACCTGAGGGAACATTGCTTGCAGAGCAGGCTCTGCAGATCAGCCCTGTTGCATTACCATGGGGTGCAGGGGGGTTGGTGCACTGTGCAGTGGGAACCCAGCTTCCTCCTGCACTCAGATCCTTTGTCAGAATGTCTTCTTGTGCGTTTGCTTCATCAAAAGTAACATGCCCTGTCCCAATCAAGCTGATGAGATTAACTTGCTCTGTTGAAAGATAGTGTATTTAACAGTGGACCCAGAAATAGCTTATTCCTAAATAACTGATTAAAAGTCTGACACATGTAAAATCAGAAAATAAGTGGTGTTTGATTGTTTCACAGCAGACAGTTGTTTTTCTCTTAAATGCAGTAATCTTCATAAAGTTAAAGTTGTCATCTTTTTGCAGTAAATTAATGATTTTACTTTTTATAAATTATTTTTAAATATAGGAAGACATTGATGTAGAATCTTCATTTTCATTAAATATGAACTTCAGCAGTAAAAGAACAAAATTTAAAATTACCACATCAATGCAAAAAGATACACCACAGGTAAGTGCTTTTCCTTATCACTTTGGAAATATTTAAGCATTGGACTTGCTAAGTCCAGTTTACAGTGAGATTGTGCACAGCTTTGCACCTCAAAGTTAGTAATAGGGCACATGTTTCCCTAGTTTCTTTCCCTTTCCATGCACTAACCTTATAATCACACAAATCTCAACACATGTTAGGCTCTGAAACAGTAGTACCGGGTGTACTACTGGAAAAGCTGTTGTAGTTCAGTGTCTTCGCCCTTCGCCCACAGTAAACGTCGGGTTGAGGAGGTAGCTCAGTAATGGGGCATGGGCCCAGCATGTACCAGGCCCAGGTTCTGTCCTTGGCACTGAAACACAGTGCTCAACAAAAACCCCACATCGGACCCGGGGAGCACTCGCCTGGCAAGCACAAGGTTGTGAGTTCCATCCCTGGTACCAAATCATAAAAACCAAACAAACAAGAAAGCCCACACCTTCCGACTTTAACCCTGAGAACGACACATGGCCCACAGTGGATATTTGAACACTAGTGTATGGTATGGGGCCCTCCTAACTGTGTAATATGCTCATTATTGGTTGAGTGGTTTTTGAACTTAGGATAGCAACAGTATCTCTTGTCCTTTTTCTTGTTTTTCCCTAACAGGAAATGGAGCAGACTAGAAGTGCTGTAGACGAGGACCGGAAAATGTATCTCCAAGCTGCTATCGTTCGTATCATGAAAGCACGAAAATTGCTTCGACACAACGCCCTCATTCAGGAGGTGAGGAGAGGGACAGCCCTGGGGAGGACGTGGCCGATGTACAGGGAGCTTTGTGTCTTCCTAGCCTCCATGCAGCGTCACAGGCTCCCACATAGCGTGAAGAAACCTTTCCCTGCTTAGCGAACAGGGCTCTCTTACTGTTTAAAGCCAGGCTTCCTTTGGTTTGAATTTAGGCCTCTGGAACCTGCTGGTCCATGGGTCTCCTGCCAGGTGTTGAAGGGAATGACCGTGTCACTCCTTCATCCCACGCGTGCCCGTGTCTACCAGCAGCGGGGTGTAGAGCGCCTCCAGATGGGCAGCGCTGGCGGAGCTCACGGGAAGGGGCGGGAAGGCATTTCTGAAATCGGGTGCACATAAAGATAGAGTTCCCTGGCATGCCTGAGAGAAAGGGCAGCGGCACCGCAAGCATGTCTGCCAAGCTCTGGCAGATGCTTCCTTGGTGAAGCAGTAATCGAGCTCAGGGGGAAAATGGGTTTAAATGACAGTTTGGGGTCTGCTGCATCTGTAGTACAGTGCAGATTTGCATATAAACACCGCTTTCTTACCATGCCTGTGTTCTGCACTTTAATTCCTTCACAATTGAAGATTGGATTTTTCTTTAACTTTGTATAAAGGTAATTTTTCTGCCATCATGTTTAAGTAACAAATGTGGCTGCTCCCCCTTCCCTGCCCACTGCCCTGCTCTGTTCAGAGAAGGCAAAACTGCCCAGGATGTCTGTTTCCTCCTTCGGTTAAACCTGTCCCTTCTGGAAGGCTTTTGTTCCCGTTTAACTGATACCATATCATGCTTATTTTAGGTATCTGTCTCTGGTCGGATCAGGTCTGTTACTGTAACAAGGCAGAGGCGCCTTCGCACTGAGTGTTAATTATTTACCGCTGATGGGCAGGTGGCTGTCTAATCTGTGTGTCTGTCCTGCGCAGGTGATCAGCCAGTCGAGAGCCAGGTTTAACCCCAGCATCAGCATGATTAAAAAGTGCATCGAGGTCCTAATAGACAAGCAGTACATCGAACGCAGCCAGGCATCGGCGGACGAGTACAGCTATGTTGCGTGACGTCGCCACTGCGAGCGGTGCAGATCAGACCCTTGCGGCTGGAGACCAGGCCGCGGCAGCTGGCGTGCTCCTGTGGAAGACCCAGGCCCAGGCCTCCGTAATGTGGTCATTTGGCAGCCCCTGTTTTTCTGCTGTTTACAATGTCACCAGTGCCACGTCATGAGCGTCAAAGAAAATGCCTAGAGATATTTCAAGCTCATGTCATCATGACATTTCTTAAACTTTCTCAGAGTGAGTGAAGTGTTGCTGGAATCTGGAAATTCGGTTGAGTACCATGCTTTTCTCCCCTTCCTGTTTGCAGTTAATGTGGTTTTTTTTTTAAATGTATCTTAAAGGACATAAAAACTTAAAATATTGTAATATGACAGATAACCTAATAATTGTATCTACATCAAAATGACAAACATGATATTGCTGCTTGTCAAATAAAAAAAAATAAAGAAATAGAATGCCTTTTTCATGTGGATCAAACATCAGGCTGGCCACAAAATTTGCCTTAATATCAGCAGTAGACAGCCTGGGGACTGTGTTCATTTTCTACCTGATACATGTGTCAGTGCTAGAACATTTCTGTTATTTTTTAATGTTACTGAGCACGAACTTGACAGATGTTCCCACACATTATTTTTAAATCCTCAGATGAATACTGCACGCTGTTTAATGCTTCTGTAGGAGAATAGGATGCTAAGGAAGGAGACTTTCCCAGAAGCTGCAGAAATTGAATGTAAATACACTCAAAGCTGTGGACTTCTTAAATTTAGTCTTTCTCTATAGAACTTTCTGTAAGGTAAATGGGAATAAATGGAGCATTCTATAAGGTAAATTTCATACTTAACCTCTTCCAGACTTTCCAGAATAAAAATTGTTTCTAGTTAAATACATGATAAACACTTCATATTTTAGTTCTTAAAATACTTAGGGTGACGAAAATATCCGTGATTAAGGGATTCCTCTTGGCTGACAGCTGATTTACGGCAAAAAATAATTGTGAATTTAACATTTCCCATACATGTGCATGACTATAATCCATCTAAGTATGTGTGCATTTATCCGTTTTTAACTGTTGGCTGTTTAATAGCAAAAGATATTTATTCAACTCTAATATTTTTGCTCCAAGGAAAATTTGTGGTTGGACAAAGCTAGAGTTAAGATGTGAATTTGCAGCTCACTGTGGCCAAGGCCAGTAGTGCACAGGCCATAGCTAAATCAGATGAGACCCTTGGGTCCAGGATGAGTGTGTTTATGGAGCATGTCAGAGGCCAAGCAGTTAACTTTGGAGGCTTAGACACCCTGCACAGCCCCGCAGCACGGAATCCATTCACGGTGGCATCACAGGTGGGGAACGGTGACTGTCCTGGGCATCCCCCAGGGACTTCTGAGAGGGTTGTCCCTCTGCCCTGTGCTCCTCTGCAACTCGGGTAATTCCTCTACTTCATCATCTCTCGGACATTCACTGGTGTCAGTGTGTGACACGGGGCTTTGATGAGCAGAGAAGATGCGGTCTGTGCCCACGGTGGAGCCCTTGGTCTTGTACCGCCATGACTGTCATTCTACATGTCTCTGCTTTTGGAGAAGCCTGGGCACTACTGGAGCATTTCATGAGTAGCTCAACAGGAGAGAAGGCAGGCAGGGGGGCACATTCTGCACAGCAGTCACAAGACAGAGCCTGAGAGAGGAAACAGCGGCCAGGACTCAGGAAGTGAAAGACCAGACCAGTGGTGCTGAATTAGGTAGAGTTTGGCAGGAGAGAGACTTAGTTACATTTGCATTTTAAAAATTGACAATAATGTTTTCCTAACTTGGGTGTTAACACTCATTATGTTTCCAGACTCTTTCCATGTACGGTTTTTGCCTTGGTATTTGTGAACTGTTTCGTAATACAAAGTTCAGTGGACACATGGAACTTGCTTGGACTGGGGTTGCACAAATGGAGACCGCGGTATGTCCAGTTGGCATTGCCTGGCAGCAGAGCACCTGCCCAGCACCACAAGAAAGGGCTGATGCCTGGTTGGAAATCTCAGAAGGTTGAGATAGATGAGGCAGGCTTGGCTTTAGACACTCAGCAGCTGCTGTGCTTTGGAGCTGGCCAGGGAGTTGGGCGGTTGGTTATAGATGTCTACAACGCTGCTGTGTAGATGTTCTAGTGCTGAGTCTTAGAAACGCATTGTAGAGACTTCCTGATCTATTCTTACTCACTGACTGACTGACTCTGCAAACTAACTGCACTGGTTACACGTGAGCAGAGTGTAATGCACGTCTACCACCACATGAATGTAGTATGTGCACTTTAAATTGGAAAAGCAGGAACAAGAAGGAATGAAAACATTTGTTGAAATCCTGGTATACATTGTAGGATTTGTCATTTTCTGGCAACAGTGGTGGCATCCACCTTGAGGAGCATACATGCCCAGAGAGGTAGAGTAACTGAGCCTAAGGCGCCTGCCGTGTGACCTTCCTACATTTACAAGTCTTTGTCAGTGGCTTTGAGCTGCCCAGGTTTTGCATTCTACTGGAAAATTAAAAGATACTTATCCACCCGAGGAAGGAGCCAACGTGTGGGAAAGAATTTTAATTCTTGAGGGTGTTTACAATTCTCTGTTGTTAGTAGCAAGCTGTTTAGAATGACAGCAATTGAAGAATTGTACCTGTTGTTGGAATCTGCAGCCCTGAGGAAGGAGTGAATTAAATGTTTTTACACTGGCTGGCTGGGTTGACTTTCCTGGGAAGACCTCTGTGGTTGCAGGAAAAATACGAAACTTTAGAGTTTTATAACCAACTCAGTGGAGACAGCAAGCTAGCACATAGGATGGCTCTAACCTCCCACTCACACCTCTGAGAAAGTTTCGGTTTCTTTCAATGGTAAATTCCATTAGTTTTCTTGTAGGGAAGAGAGGAGAATGAAGTCCTTCTTTGAGTAGAAATAAAATTGAACACAAATTATAGGAAAATTTGGCTCAAGAAAGTTACAGGTGCAGCAGAAATATGATGCAATGGAAGGCAAAGTTGAATACTGAATAGAAAAATCTAGTTTATATGTTTCTCTCTTGGTGTATTAGTTTATATACTGCAAAGAATTTAAGTTCAAGGCAATGCAGTGCTGTGGCAACATGTGAGACACTTGTGAGATATGCAGTTTCTTTTTGTAGAGACAGGATCTTGTGCATAGTCCAGCCTGACCTTGAACTCACTGTGTAGTCCAGACTGGCCTTAAATTCATGGCGATCCTCCTGCCTCAGCCTCCTGAGTCCTGGGATTTAAATCTGCATGTTACAATATCTCATCATCCCAAGAAGAGTGAGAACCTGCAACCGACTGGTAGACGGGAAAGTAGAAAAGCGTGGTGTGCGAAGCAGGAAGGTGTGGCGTCCTTGTTAATTATGTCCAGATTCTGGATGGGGCCCCAGCTCCACTGCCTGGAAAGCAAAGAGAATGGTGCTCATGCCGGGGAGCATCCGCAGCCCGGCCTGCAGGCCTGAGCTGGAGCCAGGGTAGGCACACCTCTAGGTGGCCACTCAGCTCCTGACCTGTCAGTACTGTCTACCCAGTAACCCAGATGCAGTCTGATTAGACCCCAGGGTTCCGGGACCAGCCAGCATCCTTAAAGCACGCAGCCTGAGATGAAGGAAAGGGCTGGGAGCTGACCCACCTGGGTCCCGGAGAGACCCTCCAGCCTGGCAGGCCAAGCCCGTAACAGGCAAGAGTGACTGGTGGGAAGCACAGGGACACCACAGTGTGACACTTGAGCACGTGGCTTCTGGGAAGAGGCCTGGGGCGTGAGAAGTGACGTGAACCCTTGAGTCAGGGTTAGCCCAATCTGCCTTAGGCATCCGTTAACCATTCTTCAGTGGGTGTGCGTGTTCGTCTGTATCAGGGGTCTCAACAGTCAATAGGAACTTTATCTGTGACCTTTGACTCTTCAGTCCTAGGGATAGAACCGAAGACCTTGCATTTTCTGGGCAAGTACTCGACCAGTGAACTACATCCCAGCCCTGTTCATGTTTCAGAATAGGGCCTTCCTGAGTTGCCTGGGCTGGCCCCAAACTCAGGTCCCTGCCTCAGCCTCTTTGAGTATCTGATGTTTGGGGTTATGGGTATGCGCTGCTATCCCGGTAATAACATTTATTATAATAAAGCTGTTAGCATGAGATCATGGAGAAGTCCCATTGTGTGACCTCAGTGATCTGGAGGCCCAGGAAAGCCATCAAGGCCTGACAGCAGATAGACCCGAGGAAAGTGGCCTTCCTCAGGTAGGAGGGGAACGATGTGTGTGCTCAGGCAATCCGAGCAAGAGAAGTCAACTGTACCTACCTACCCTGGGGCAGATCACCTCAGCCCGCTGACTGAAGTGCTGATAGCCTCACAGACAGGCTGAGAAATAATTCCTAGCCAGATAATCGTGTTTATCTGGGCAGCCTGTGGTCTAGGCGAGGTGACAGACTCAACCACCCCTCCTGCATTTAGTTGTATTTGGACGGTGACTTGCTCTCATTTCCTGACTGGGTTTGATGGTTTCCCAAAGTTCGTGTCTACTCAGGACCTGTGAACAATGTCTATGGAAATGGGAGACTGCAGATATGAGGAAGTTAAAATCAAGTCACCCTGGATGAAGGCGGGCTCTGAGGTAGTGGCTGCTGTCCCCTTAACAGGAGGGACATTTGGACAAAGATGCACAAAGGAGACCATCTGAATACACAGGTGTGAAGTGATGTAGCACACGAAGGAACTGCAGAGATTTCGAGCAGCACCCTCTCTGAGAAGTTTGGAAGAGGTGAAGAAGGATTCTGTACTGCAGAGAGAGAGGGAGAGTGGGGGAGAGGGAGAGAGTGTCAGCCAGCCCACTGGCACCTTGGTTCAGATTGTGTCTTCCAGAATACAGGAGAATAAACTTATTTTAAGCCACTGAGTTGTAGTACTTTGTTCTGACAATCTTAAAGAGCCAGTAGAGTTCCCTTTGTGGTTGTTTTTTGTTATTCTTGGTGGTGGTTTTCTTATTCTGTTTGTTTTTTGTGCAAGATGTTATGTAGCCCAGGCTGGCCTCTCTCCTGCCTCAGCCTTCCAAGTGTTGAGACTCCAGGCATGCACCACCTCTGCCCAGCAGTATGTAGGTATTTTATTTATTGGTAGCAGGAATCAAACTCACGACCTTGTGCTTGCCAGACAGGTGCTTGAGGTGCTGAGCTAAATCCCCCACCTTAAATTTTTTTTTTTTTTTTTGAAGCAGGCTATCACTGTGCGGTTCAGACTGGCCTTCGCCTCACTTTACAGCCGAGGCTGGTCTCAAGCTTGCAGTGATCCTCCTGCCTCAGCCTCCTGAGTGCTGGGATTACGGGCGTGAGCCACCTCATGCATCATCAACTGGAAAGACCTGGCAAATTTCCAAAGTAATAAGTAGGAAAGGGGAAATGTAAAAGGAGAATGTGGTCACGTCAGCAAAAGTAAGGAGAAATGGGAGG